CGTGGCGTGCTTTGCAATATATCGATTAATCTGCCATAAACCTATGGAGAAGGATCGATAAACAGGGTGTGCGCAACGAGCACCTTAACAATCGACTCTTTACCATAGCTTCAAAGGGGGAAATATCGCTAATCGATCACTTACGCCTCGCCACTGAATGTCACGTGTTCAATCCTGCTCGTAGTTAAACGCAAAGTGATCAAAATACATTTCGTCATAAAATCTGTCCTCTTTTACAGAACAGATGACATCTTCATTGAGTGATAACGCGACCCCGGATACACCTCACTTTGCTCTAATTACCCCTCACCCCCCGACCGAAAAAAAAACAATAAAAAAAAACCACGGACCACAGACAACGACAAGAGGGCGGAACTGAAAATAAAAACATAAAAAAGTGTCGCCGCGCTACAAAGCTTTCCGCACACCAACAACAAGAGGATTAGCACGGTCTGAAGGGGGCTGGCGAAAGGGGAGGGGAGGTGGAGGCGCAGAAAATAGAGGGGGAGGAGATGAATGAAACGAAGGGGAGCTGAGTTTGGAAGCGGAAGAGAGTAGTATAGAGTGGTCATAATTCCAGCATATTGGTTTCATTTGGCGGGCAATTATAATTAAATCGGGAGGGAAATTGAAATAGCGACGGTAGGGCGGGCGGGGAGCGGGGGGTGATTAGGTAGGCGTGGGGGGGATATCTTGGGGGGGATCGGTACTCGCCGGGAGCTATCAAGTCGGGAGCGGGCTGGCTAAGCACGGGATAACAAATGGCAGACTTACGCGCGCACAATGAGAACGTTAAAGTATGAATATAAATAAGAAAATACTACATTTTATGTGCAACATTTAAAAAACTAGCCGTGTCGAGTCGTAAACCCGGTTTATGGTTCGGCTCCGCGCCGCTCGTAAACCGGGCAGCGCTGCAGTCGCGTCTCTTCAAAGAGCGGGGTTGTTTATGACGCATGCATCCTTATTTTATGGGCTCCCATCAAATTTTCATCGTTTCACGACACCACCATCCCTTCGGAAACTATTTCACGGAATCTATTTTATTTTATTCTATTTATTTACTTACTTTATTTTTATGCTTTATGTTAATGCCCGCGGTTATTAAAATCACGATGGGTATACCTTCTCCTCTCGGGAAGCGCCGCGCTAGTGTCGCATCCTGGGTCGTAATTGTCTATGCAAATTCCGGCGCGTTTCCCACCTCCCCCCCCCTCGCTCTCCCTGCCAAAGTGATTTTATCTCTTCCGCCGGTGCGAGGCTGCGTTCGCCCGAGTTTATGCGCGCAGGGATGCGATGCGAGCCACCCCTCAGCCCTTCAACCCTTCCGTCACGCAGGCACAGGTCTCAATCAAACCCCGCTTCAAACTACAATCCCTATTTAAGAGGCTCCATCCGCAACCCAAGTGCAATAATTTAACCTGCTTTACAGGAGTTCGCGCTTTTCTTTACTGTTCGCTGTTCCGCTGTCAGACGGTCTCGAGAGCGCTCGAGACAAAATATGATGAAAACAGAAGGGACAACCATGAAATACACTGCATTACACTGCCGTGCCAAGGAAAAATGCCGTATGAACTTTTAGGCGTTGCCAAATTACCTTAGATATAATATGAATTCGATTGGTAAAGTTGCAAATATTTTCATTTCAATCTACTCGAGAGCACTTGATACAAAATATGATCGAAACAGAAGGAAGAACCATGAAATACACTGCATTAAAGTTTTAACCCATTCGTACATCGATCTTTTACGTCAAATTTTGAGCGTTTCGTTGCGCGTACACCTCGCTGCAGTACATTAAAAGCACAAAATGTAAAAAAAAAAAGTTAAGGTGCTTTGGAAATCATTAAATTTGACACGGGACCACCAATATTTAAAAAACACACATTATATTATTATTCTCCTTTGATAAATTTATACATATTTTTCCCCATCAATTTAAATGAGTATTATCAATGCAGAGTGTGCTAACATTTCAAAATCATGAGTTAAAAAACGCCGACTATGCGAGTATAAATATTAAAGCCGAACGGAGCGCGGAGAGCGGAGCGGCGCGCTGCCAGCGCGAGAGGCTCACTGGCGCTGGCCGCCCACCCACCCGCCGCGCCGTGCGGCGGCGCCTGAAGCAACTATTTCACAACAGAGGTGTTGCACAGTATTACACGAAATTGAACGTATTAGGAATGGCAGGCGTCCTTTANGACACGGGACCACCAATATTTAAAAAACACACATTATATTATTATTCTCCTTTGATAAATTTATACATATTTTTCCCCATCAATTTAAATGAGTATAATCAATGCAGAGTGTGCTAACATTTCAAAATCATGAGTTAAAAAACGCCGACTATGCGAGTATAAATATTAAAGCCGAACAGAGCGGAGCGGCGTGCTGCCAGCGCGAGAGGCTCACTGGCGCCTACAAACCTAAGTGGATACTTCACGCATTGCACAATGCTTGAAGTATCCACTTAGGTTTGTAGGCGCCAATGCGCATTTCGCGCTGGCCGCCCGCCCACCCGCCGTGCGGCGGCGCCTGAAGCAACTATTTCACAACAGAGGTGTTGCACAGTATTAGCCGAAATTGAACGTATTAAGCGTGGCAGGCATCCTTTAAAAGGACAGATCTTTCCTCACAAAATAAATCAAGATACTTATCGTTCACAGACAAATTCTAAGAGCCTTTAACTGAGGCAAATATAGAGGTTTATCCGGTTCAGGTATAACATGGTGGGAATTTCTTGAAAGATATATTTAAGTCCTGTTACACCAAAGAGGTGTAGAGAGTTTTAGTGAATTTTGTCTCATGGAATTGACGCTCCCCCATTTTTACCAATACTCTCAACTACATTTTATTCTCCGTTGGACCAAACATACAAAACAAAAAAACAAGCAAACCCTCATTCTTCCAAGACTTTATATATTTTCATCCAAAAACGTCGTGAGCAATTGTCGTTTGTATTTACATGTGGGCCAATTAACTTTGGGTCTCAACCGGCACGTGGACCAAAACGCCCTGCCGAAAAACGCGTGGACGTAAATTACTGGAAAAAACAGGTGCGCGGACAAAAAATCGTTGACGAAATGTCCTATAACCCTAGATTCACTCTCAGTGTTAAATGATGGTAAATTTACAAATATGTCGTCATGCGCAGGTTGCTTGTTTATCGACTGACCGTAACCATTAAATAAATTCGCAGAGTTAGGCTAAATTGGACTGCATTTTGCAATTTGGAACTATAAATTCTGGCTCATCCGAATAAACACTTATGTGCGTAGGGAAACTAATGGCGCATACGTTGTTTTTAAACCGGGCCAGAATTTATAGTTCCAAATTGCAAAATGCATTTCAACTAATGATCACTGTCAATCGATAAAGTGCTCAATAGTTCGCCCGTGGCTAATGATTTCCCGTGTATAATATGTCGTATCGGTAAAAATTGAAGGCGCGTTTTGAGTGCGAAGCACTTCCCCCATACATTCCTCCCATAGTTCACGCCTAGTTGTATTTGCCGAATCTCCGTAAATTGTTAGATTTTTCCAACGGATGGTGGAGGACATCAGTGATACGAATTGAACTATGGCAACCTCGGTGAATGTTCACTCTTCGATGTTGTCTTATCACACAGAAGGACAAAGCGTGTTTTACGACTTGGCCTAAGTAAGGAACACTACATCGGGATTATGACGGGATAAAAGTAACAGCGCGTCAAGGTTTGTTCTTGGCGTGCCGTATTAAATTGGCCTATTATTAGGGATTATTTTAATTTCGCTCGATAATTATTATATCTTTTGATGCGCTTCTCTAATGGAGTCGTTGTTGGCGATCGTAAAAAGTCCCTCTGTCGCTAACCCTTCTCCATTCATAAGGCGTTCGTCTCATTGAAAACTCCCCTCCCATCAGAATTTTTTAGGTGTGTATATGACGTGTTGAACAATCCATTCATGATATAATTGAGCCGTAAATATATCGGTGAGTTCGAAGGGTGTTTGCTAGAAGGAGATGCGTGCGATATTTTGCAAAGCGGGGCGTTTCGATATTATATTCTTGAAGTTAAAAAACATTTTCAGAATTTTTCAGGAAGTACCCTTTATTCGATAAGGAATCACGAATATTCAAGTACTAGGAAAATGAAACGCAAAATTTTGTGGAACAACTCACATTTCGGTGTCTACAGTCGAATCTTCATTGTGATGTTTCAAAAATTTCCGCTCTTATTATGTTTTGTCGAAGAAAAACAAATCAGTTTTAGAGATTGCAATTCATGCAGAATACGCTGCTTACAAAGAGGGACAATCAAGGAAGGTTTTAAGAAATTACGGACTAGTTTCGCAGAAAAAAAATGAAGTATGGCAGGCAAACACCATTAAATACCTGTTTCAATTTCTGACAACAAACAATTTCTGAATATTATTAAAAAAAAATGTAAGTTTTTTCACAAAATTTGCAATTTCTTTTCTAGCACCTGGCTATACCGAGGCGTTACTCATCATTGAACTTCTAACATGGAATGCTTTTTCCGATCATCCACATGAACATGCCACGATTTTCTTAAAGAAGGATTCCTCTCGTATAGATCCATCCATTGAATATCAATTTCGCTTTTTTTGAACATGCAAAAGCGCAAAATATGACAGCTTATTCAGAGATCTACCGGGCTGATTTTCTTGATTTTTGCGGCTTTCGTCAGGAGATAGTCACCATATGAGCCCTCTCTATTTAGATCAACTCACGCGGACTTGCGTGGCGGGCCTTAGAAAGCGTGAAGCGCCCTGTGGGGGTAGGGCTGCGCACCAGCTAGGGGGCGAACCCCCTAGTTAAGTTTACGACTCGAGAGGGTTGTTTTTTGTTATTATTGGCAAGCAAAACTAGCGGCGGAACTCACTATTGACAGCGTTAAAGATTTACTCTAATGCTTTTATCTTAATTATTTATGGTTTTTGATCTGATTTGGCATGGACGAATTATGATTTGTTTTTTATTTTTTTATTTTTTAGTCTGAAGAGAGGTTAATAAGGCCCGATTTCTGGACGCTATTCCATACCAACCTTCCAAAATGGTCGACGCTAGGTGACGTAACTTCATTGAACCGGGCGCCATCCAGGTAACGGACATTTTAGTCTCGTTTCGACAGTGGCGTGGCGTGAATTGCGATATATCGATTGATCTGCCATTTGAACGCATGGAAAAGGATCGATAACCAGGGTGCTCGCGACGAACACCTCAATTATCGATTCTTTACCATAGTTTCAAATGGGGAAATATCGAAAATCGATCATTCACGTCTCGCCACTGCGTTTCGTCCCCTTACTGTATTGACTGAAAAATAATACTAACACAAATTATGAATTTGAGAAAGCTTGTGGAAAATTAATTAAATTAAAGAACTTTAATGAGTAAAACGTTTACCGAAAAAATGTAATTGAAAACAAAAAGAAACAAAGATTAATATGTATAATATAATTATCATTGAAAACTTTCCTTTATAAAGGCCACTAATTTTATAGGGAGAATTATGAATCATAAGTATCTCAGGTTTATTAGATCTAAAAAATTAAATTCTGAGCTGTTAAAATGATTTTTATTTTTACGTATTTTATGATGCATGCGCTTTCGTTTGGGGATGATCTATGGCAGTATAATTCTATCACACAGGTTTTCCGGCAGGAACTATTGATACTTATCGTCATTATAGACTTACTGAACTTCATTTTATTCTTTTTTTAACTGTTTTTCACTGCATTTTTTACATTACTCTTGGTATTGTAACTAAAATAGTATGCGTCTAACGTGGGCTTACTGTTATTTTTTTTAAAAAAAATAATGAAAGCTGTCAATGTTTGCCACTGTTGAAAAATGAAAGAGTCAAGCAAAGATTTGGAATTATAGCTTCAAGAAATTCGATGGCGACATTCAATGAAAATGTACAACTTTTGTGCCATGACTTTGAAAGCTTTTTGAAATAGGAAGGGGATGATTGCATGTTGCAGAACTTACGCTTTTACTTTACGCTGTCTGTTGTCTCTCCTGTTTTAATTTTAACTTTCTATCGCATTTTTTATATTCTTATTGCCTTATGACGTTATGTTATTTCTTTCGCATTTACATTTCAAATATCATTTTATGCAACACTTTTTCGAATTAAATGAGAAGAGAAGCTGATTTGAATACCTACAAATAATGATCAGTGTATCTGCTGAAACCTGAGCGCATATACGTTTCTTTCAAAATAATTTAATGATTTTTTTCTCTCTCTAATAAACTTAAAATATTTATGACCCAAAAAACCGTAAAACTAGCCTCAAACAATATTTACATTTGAATTCACATCACCCCAATGTACACGTGCGTGGCGGTAGGGAAAAACAAAAATAAAAATAAAAAAGGGGAAAAAGAGACTTAGAAACCTGGCGAAGTGGAATGGCAGATATTTAGAGCAATAAAAGGGCATAATTCTCAGCTTTGCAATATTTAAGTGCGTCTCAAAGTCCACATAGTTGCAAGCTTGTGAGGAAAATTCGATACACATCAATCACTGTTTTCAATAAAAATACTGCCTCCGGTGCAATAATGAACGGGCATTTGAAATTTTGTTAACGTTTTGACTACAAAAGCAGTGCGATCCAAGCCTCATTTTTCTTGAAATTTGGCGTAAGTCAGCATTTTTAGAAGAATCTGGCAACCAAGGAGGTAGTAGATTCGGCGCGGGATTTACAACGCGAGCATAAAACGATGATTGCTATTGAGGATTGAAGGAACGCGCAAATATGCACCGCAGCCTCGCCGTGAACTTATGCAACCCGCGTTGCATTAGATGAGGGGAGTGAACGTGCCTGCAAACACTTTAAAATTGCCGTATTTTAAGGATTCATGGCCCATTTCAGGTTTTTATTCGTGCGTTTGTTTTTTTGCGGACACAGACATAAGTTTTTTTTTCGGTAAAGTGATTACCCACCTTTATTATGTAGCCTCTTTGCCACTGATTGCTCAATGATCACTGTAAAGGAAATGCTGGATAGAAAATTTAACATCCATGCGGTCGAGTTATTCTGTTCATGCTCAACAAATAGACGAATTTTCAACAGCCATTATATAAACTTTGGCCAATTTTCCAATAAAAAATTTCGTCACAAAGAAAAGTATTAGAGTCAAAATTTCCAGTAATAGATCTCATTTTAGCAACTTTGTTAATTCTTCTCGGGGTAACGGAAATTCTCTTTTCTGCAAAAAAAAACTCCATTACGTGAAAACTCCATAGGAATAATTTCAAAATAATTTATACTTGTTAGTCGATTTAACCGCCAACGAATTCCTCAATGGGGATTATTTTTAATCCCGTCAATATTCTCGGAAAGTTATGTTTCTTCAATCAATTTGCAATTTTTATCAGATCATAGGAATTTCATACACCTCAAAAGTGAGTGCAGGAGGAATTCTATAAACCGATTTTCTGGTTAATTTACAGTATCCAGTTGAATTTTCAATCATAATAAAAATGTCCTCGTCAGAGAAAAACGTTCCGATTATTATTTCTTGGATTTAAAATAGCGTTTGAAACGATTTCAATTATACAACATTACGTTTGTATTTCGAGACTCCAATAATTCTATTTATCTCATGAAGAATTTCATCGTGGAAAAGCAACCCCTGAAGTGAAGTTTGCGTCATGAAGTGGCGAGGTGTGAATGATCGATTTTTAACAATTCTCCCTTTGAACGTATATGGCAAAGAACCGATTATTAAGGTGTTCGTCGCGAACAACCTGATTATCGATCCTTATCATATATTAAAATGACAGATCAATCGATATATCGCAAAGCACGCCACGCCACTGTCCTCATGGTTGCGACCAAAGGCAGGAAAGGCAAAAAACCGAGAGAAGTGTCTAATGTAGTATTAAAACTGAGGAATTAAAAGCTGTACTTTGAGGAATGTCCATTTATTTTCAATTTTGACAACCCCGGTAATGCACATTCGACCCCGCGGGTGTAAATCCAACTCGTAAAACCGTCTGAAACTCACCCCTCGTCACCCTAAACGCCGGGCTTCCGTCGCAGAACCCTCCCCCCCAATCTTGAAATTTGATTGTCAACAGCAGGACGATCGAATTTTAGTGGCAGCGATGCTCGCACGAAGGAAATTTTTCAAGGTATACGTAATAAAAACCACCGAGGAAGCTTGCGTTTTAATAAAACTGGCAACTCTGTTAGATGATAATTAATTTGCATGAATTTTAGTGTGCATTGGATGAAGACGAGGAGCTGTTTCGTGAAGGAATGAATCGGTGGAATTTGTAGCAGTGGGTTAGTCGTACCAATCGCAGCACCGTGTTTTGAAGGGATGTAGCTCGAATTGCATAATCTTTAAAATGGAAGGAGCGCTTAAACTTCAGATTCTATCTCTATCTCATTCCCTACAGATTTACTGTCATGGCGTTCTTTCATGTTGCAGAGATTTCTTTATTAACTATAAATCCTGTGGTTAAGTCTCACGAAAAACACGATTGTACCACTCTTTATTCTGAAATCTACCCCGCAAACTTAAAAAAAGCTCTCAAAATTTAGGTTGTATGGTAGAAGAGGTAACTTGCTCCTCATTATTCCTCCTCCCACTCCCCCCTCCCCCAAGAAAGAACGTAATTACATTTCAATATTGCTTTTCCCCTCCTAAAATTGCATTTTTACTAAGAGAATCTTGGGCATTTCTAACTGAAAATTTCACCGATTTTTCTTCTGATCTGCGAAAATCTTAAAAATTTTAGACACAAATTGCACAGGTCCATTCTTGTAAAAAACTGAATTGTTTGAGTCAATATTGCGACCTTGGAATGGAGTTACGTTCTTCTTCGTTCGTTCGTTCGTTCTTTCGCACTGAGACGAAAGTGAGATGTTGTGCACATTGACACTCACCAACGATGCCACCTGATTGCATGTAAGAAGCCGTTGAATGGTGACAATTCCGAGCTTATCTAAGTTTGACTTTAAGTCTCATATTACGATGAGCAACAGTGACCTCTTGCGTGATTTCAAATGCATGTGGCGACTTTTAAGATGGTAGTTGGCAATCTTTTCAATGTATTTAGCTCTTTCTCTCCATAGCATCGAATTGTTTGGGTTTTATTAATTGTTCCAACGGGTTTGCGACATCACGGAAAAAAAAGGGCCAGGGGTTATCCCCTAGAATTGTTGGTACTACCCTAATTTGTTGGTTGAAATGGACATTTCTATTTTGGTGATTCCGCAACTCAAGTGAGGGTAGTGCAGGGTGGCAAAATGTCATTAAAAATGAAATCTTGAATTTCACGTGAAATATTTCTTGAAATTTCACTTGAAATATTTCATGAAATTTATGAAACATTTTGAAAAATGCCGGTTCCTTATCATGTTTCGCAAAAAGTGATAATTTTGACTTTCTTCCATTTTTGTGTGTTTGAGTGCGGGTTGCATACTCTAGCCCCTGAAAAATATGAAATATTTCACAGCCTTGTAAAATTTCATTAAATATTTTATTGAAATTTTCAATCGTTCATTTCTTTCTTACGTTTCATGCCACCGCGGGGTAGTGCCGCAACATTTAAGTTAGTAACCTAATTTATTGGAGTACTACGACAGTCGATTGGAAATTTCCAAGTTGAGACTTAAAACCTCTATTCTTTTTTTCCGTGATCAGACTCGGATAGGTCTCAACTGATCAGCGTTGCGGAGCTCTAACATCAGGGTATCAATTTAGATTTATAAATACCTATGAGTTTGTTTTTGAACGTACAATTTCTGAATCGAAAGAGACTGCATGATTTTCGTCCGTTTGTTCACAGATAAGCATGCACCATGGCATGCACTTGAAGCAACCATTACTCATGGCCATGTTACCTAGGAGGCTGAGTTGAAGCTGAGACTCGCAGACCGTGGGACAAAGGAACGGACTGTTGGACGAGGAACTCGGGACGTGGAACTTCACGTTGCGCACATCAAATTTGGACCACAAAAAGCAGAGACTAAATGAAAGAGAATCTAATTGTCAAAAATCTGTGTGTGTTTTTTTTATATTATGATGATATCTAAGTCGTCTCGTTCAGAGAGAGGGAGAGAACGAATTCTCTAACTCATGCCATCAGGACACTAAATGTTTCAATTCAGAAAACCATAATTTTTCGGCTCTTGTCAAAGGTTTTGTAAGTTAAAATTCAAGTAAGCAAATTTGTATCATAGATGTTCAAATATTTTAGTTCGTGACCGAAAAAGATTCAAATCCGAATATTTTAGTGTTCTGAAAGAGCAAAATTCCATTCGCCGCGTCACGTAGAAAAAATAAATTGGTTGAATTTACTGAGCTCCAGAACAATATTTCTCCGCTTACACTCCTCATCGTATCACGTGATATCACTCCTCCACCGTGATATCACAATCGATATGTTTTGGTTGCCTCAACGAGAATTCAAGCTCAGTCATCTCGATTTTGGCTTTTTGGATTTTTTTTTAACTGTTCGGAGTCTACAACTACTTGAATTTCTCTAAGGGTGACTGAAAAGTTCCATCCTTTTTTCTTTTTTCTTTTTGAAAATTTCATTAAAATTTAGTTCAAACAACTAAATGGATCATTTTTTTCTGCGTGACGCACGTGAGTCTACTTTTCACCGCAAGTATCGCTCATTTTATACGCAGATGGCGATTTCATAATACCCTCTCTTTCTTAAGGAATGCCTGATTTTTGCACTCATATGTCGAGGATCAATTGGCTTGAACAAAGCTTTCCAAGTGTCTCTTATCAATAATGCGTGTTTCATCTGTCAATCATATCTCTTCCTCTGATAATTGACTATCCTGTATGGGAAATGACCTATATTGGGAGTGAGCTTATCCACCAGCTGAGATATCGATTAGTGTTGGGTGATATCTCCTGTTTTGATTATCCGCGAATGAAGTACTTTTCCACCAGAATTTTTTCAGAAAAATTGTATCAGTAAATCCTGATGTTAAATAATTTTTGCAACCCTGATCAATCAACTTGAGGTGATTCCTCTCAGAAAGTGAACAAACATCGATATATACCGAACGAATATTGCTAACGTACGAGTTTTGCTTTTCACTCTTTGTAAAAAAGAGAGCTGAAATAGTGTTATAGAATAGCTTACTGCAGCAGTCTTTTAATGAAAAAATTCCTTCGAAAACCCTTACTTAGAGGCAAACGAGACTTAACGCAAAAATCCCACTTTGATTTGACTAATCGAATGCGATATTTCGAGTTTAGTCTCATTTGGCTTTAATTTAGGGCTTCCGGAAGAGGCTTTTCACCAATTGACTGCTGAAGTACGCTCCTACCCCGTTTCAGCCCCTTTTTAAAAATTGAAAAGGAAAACTCGTATTTTAACAATTTTTGTTGCTTTTGCAATATCAAAATTTGTTTGATGTATCGATGTTTGTTCACGTCCTGAGAGGAATCATCCCACACTGAGAAACTACAGTAGATACGGGCCATTTTCCAAATGGACTAGACTTCTTGGTTTTGTAGTATTGAACCACTTAGTTAACCGCTACTAAAAGGTTTCAATTAACCTTTTGAATCAGAAAACGCCTCTGAAATTATCGGTCATCATAGCTTAATTTTCCTCATGAAAAAATTCTAGCCTCGAAATTGACAAATGAAACACGCTAATAATTTTCGCAGCGCAACGTGGAAGCACGGTGAAAATTCCGGTGAACTTACGTGGAAATTTCGAAAATTCCGGAGGATTTTCTCCGGAAAAAGGAGAGTCCGGGAGAGCAACCAAACGAGAATGGAAGCGAAAGCGTGTCAAGACCCAACTCGCCGCCGACCCATTCATATTCTACTCAAAAATAATCGCGTTTCCGAGACAACTCAATAATTACTCATGTGCCAATCCACCATTTTAATGTTTAATACCAAATTTAAATCGACTTTTGTGATACTGAATTTTATTTAGAATGTTTTAATAATTGTAATTTAGGCTTAAGTATTTCTGTCTCTTCTCGATCACCTTTGATTGTGATAATTTTTGTCGTTTTATGTAAAAAGATGTCGAGAGAGTGTCGCGTTTGTGCTGTGATGTACCCGCGGACTGCTACACTGGATTTGCCCTGGTTTTCGTGGTCTTGTTAATTTGCCGTGCTAAGGAAAAGCACCGTATGAGCATTTAGGTGTTGCCAAATTTCCTTTGATACATCACGATTATTCGGGAATATTTATGAACACTTTTCCTCCGATTTTTCAGAGAATTACGTTCGCACTTTGATCTAAAACGTCTGAAGATTTCAAGGGAAAATATTCATAACTTTCTTCAAGGATAAATATTTTGTAAGAGGAAATTTGGCAACATGCGAATGCTCACACTGCGTTCTTCCTTAGCACGTCAGTATTCGACTACGGAGAGATTTATACTTTTCTTCCGATTTTCTCGTTTTTTCATCGACTCAAAACAGCTGCATATCGATGGCTAAGAACGCAGAATAGAGCAACATATGAAGCCTTAAATCGCTATTTAAAATTTCTGAAAACTACAAAGAATATACTCAACAAATTTCACGGCAAGATGTAGTTTAGTTTGTTGAATATAACATGAATATGAGATAAAATCAAGAATCGTAACATGCAGGTGCGGATAAGTTTTTTCTTCACTCCCATTTTTTTTTTTTTGGAAACAGGGTGAAATTCCTTGTAGCAACCGCCATCTCCGAGAATGAAAGTAAGCGTAATTGGGTGTGAATAGTGTTACGTTGTACAGTGATAAACTCGAATAATCTTATTATTAGGTATTGTTACAGTTTGGTCAGTGTCATTAGATTCAATCGCTAAGTTAAACTTCATTTCAACTAGAACCATGTTTTACAAGAGACGTTTTTTTCAAACTTCTTTAAATCTTTGATTATCACTATTTCACGCGCTCTGGGCGAGGATTGTGTTTTTATAGCGTAATCCGCTCGGCCTGAACGGCATATTAAGAGCTTATGTTCTTCTCTTAAACAAACACAATAAAAATAATCAAAAAAATTTTTCCCCGATAAAGGAAATGAAATTTGTATTCAATAACGAGGAAACATATTTGAACTATGAGCTTCATTTGAATTAAAAAGCAGATGAATCTTTTCATAATTTAAAAAAAATGAACTAAAATTATTTTATTTAAATCAATGACCATGCAATCCTTTTTTGACAATTTTTTCAGTGTCTACAAAGTTTAAAAAAATCGGTATCTCAAATGCTGCCAAATGCAAAAGTTTTACTTATTCTGAAGTAGCGATATCAGTGATTTCAATGAAGTTTTTACCTTGAAAAAAGTACACTAAACCTGAAAGAAAACTGTCCTTATATGGTTGTCTTAAATTATGTAACTACTCGACGATTGTCTTTTTCATGTTAATTTGTTGTATAATTGTGTATTTTTTTCTTTTTTAAATAAATATTAATTCAGTCTATGATGAAATGAGTATGAATTCTCAATCAGTTCTTCTCGTCCCTTCACTCTGTGCCTGTAATCACGCCCCTACCTAAATATTATCCAAAAATGTTCTCACAATCTCTCTTGTGATGAGTACAATGTTATTCAGTTTTGGCGTGAAAAAAATGAATTTTGATGCTGGCAAAGGAAGCCTTAAGTCGTTGAGAAATAGATGGTAGTCGTTCTTAAGGCTACGTTTCGCATTTTCACGAAAGTCGCATGTCAAAACTTTAAATATATTTTCATCATATTAAAACTAGGACGAACAGCACGGTTAAATTGGACATATTTCTGTCAAACGGAACTATGTGCATTATGACGTGAGCCCTGTGGTGCATGTATTCTTATGGGTCTCAAGGCTCATGTCTAAATGCACATAGTTCCGTTTGATAGAAATACGTCCAATTGATAGTCTAAGTCATAAGTCAAAATAAAATACTGTAACCATACGGCTACATGGCAAAAATAGAAAAAAAATGTTGAATAAATTGTAATTTAATAATTTTTCACTCATAATATTCTTTTTTAAAATAGAATTCAGAGATATTTTTAGAGAAGATTTTCAACCAGAGCAACAGGAAAAGTGATTGTAAATTCCTAAATAATAACCAATTTCATCTCTCAGGCAGATCTTCGTGACTTGCCAGTGAATTAAGTTCCAGATGTTTTGACCTTCATTCACCATTGAACGGAAACACTTTTTAACTGAACAATTCGCCTTCTGCTGCGTCTGCAGCAATTGTTGTTTCGAATATGTTGTGCGTGCTGATTTTCAGCCCATTACATACTTGACTCTCTGAAGGCGTTTTATGTGCGCAAGTAGCGCAATCTTTCGGAAAAAGAAGGAAGTAGGGATTGGAACGCCTTCAGAGAGTCAAGTATGTAATGGGCTGAAATCAGCATGCATAGCATATTCGTAACAACAATTGCCGTAGACGCAGCAGAAGGCGAATTGTTCAGTTAAAAAAAAGAGTATGATAGGTATTCTGCGTATAACGGGAGGGTATGTATGTAATCAATCGACATTAATCGAACGAAAAATAAAAATGTGAACCGATCAACACCGATTCAATGGACGAATAAATAAAAAAAAAGCTGATCAAAATCAGTAGAAAACTCGCATTTACTATCAACATTTCAAATTGCGAAATCTCGAAATTAGGATCAGCCAAGATTTTGATTTTTCGCGATTTATTAAGTCCGCACGTACCATAGACTCATATTGTGCAAACTGCGCCTTGATTTGTCTATTCTGATAAATGGACCGCGCTCAACACAAAGGAACCAAGCTACATCAGCTACCGCCAAATTTAACTTGACAATGTAATTTTTACAAGAGAATGTTTGTACGGATTTCTCTGAAAATTTTAAGGAATTTGCTTCTTACTATGCAGAAAATTCACTGGAAGTGGCACGAAAAGCTGCACGGCCGTTTTTAGATAAAAAATCAAATTGCCCAATTGAATTTGTCAATAGCTATTTTGGCTGCTGCTTAACGTGGTCCAAATTCAGATTATTTGATTACCTTGGTCCTCCAAATGGACGTATTTCTATCAGACGGAACTAGGCGCCAATTTGAGTTCCTTTTGAGGAATCTAATGCCGGATAGCGCGTTCTGTCAAACGGACCTAAGCGCCATGGAAAAGCATTGCGAGTAAAGGACGGAATAAGCCGCACGCCCGATTCCGCCGCCAATTTAAGCCTCCGTCTACCTTCCTCACCCTATGGCGCTTAGGTTCGTTTGATAGAAATACGTCCAAATAATAGACCCTCTTGCGTGATGAGTCGAGGAAACGTCTCACCGCAGTCACATTCGAGTGCAGACAACAACAGATCCTCGTTTGCAAAAATTTTATCCGCTCAGAAATGTTAGCATTGTTAGCGTCAAAAAGCGCCTTCATTTTGTGGATAGGCAATATGAGCTCCTATGAGTCGAAAGGGTGCTATCAAAACGCTGGCCGCATATCGACGGTGTAAGTCGACAATCACATAACTCGATTTGCGACGTCGCAGACTTCCTATCACACTTTATTTTTTAAACGGAAAACTACTCAACGGGCTATTCTTTGAAACTCCAGTGATTTTTCTTCTCTATGCGAAGAAAATTCTGCAAAAACTTCAAGGATTCATGTCAATTTGTTCTCCTCTAAAAAAATAACATAGAGGCGGAGATTTTCAGACACCGCAAACGAGTTATGTGATTGCCGACTTACACCGTCGATATGCAGTCTGAGGTCTGGCGTCCTTTTTTGATAACTTAGGTTGACAGTTAGAAGTATATATCTACACTAATTCATAAACGATAATTGGAGAATCTAAGCTTGCAAGGAGAAAGCAAAAATGTTCTTTATAGTCTGAGGTAGTTAATCCAGGAATCAAAAAATTCTGTTGAAATCCAATGAAATTTCAGCAGTCAGAGCTGGAGAATTGAAAACAAGATGTTTCCCTTCAAATATACCTATTCTCATTTCCAGTCGTGAATAATTTTGTTACTAAATATGGTAACACCGTACAGCATATCAACCCGGGAATGGCATTCCGTTTCGAAACATAAAATTAAGCCCCTTCAGTGGACCAAACTGCAAAAGTGTAAACTATCAGATGATCATTGAAAGCAAGTTCGACAAGAAAGGTAAGTGATGCAGAATATATCGAAACGCATGCATCTATCCCGGAGATCTTTATCTGGTCACTTTTGTCAACTAATTATATGCTCCTGATATGAGCAGGACCGGATTTACATGTCTAGCACCCCCAGGCTGAAATTTGTTCGGCACCCCTGAAAGTATAAATGCTATCGGGACAGAGAAGGGAGTTATATGGAACACGACCCCCACTCCCTTTCGACGAAGGTAATGGAAAAATAATTCGAATTTACTATTAAATAAATACGATTTCAAACGATTTTGAGGTGCTGGTTGCGAGCAACTTGAAGGGGAAAGTATTAAAAAAAGAAAGAAAAAAAGAAAGAAAAACTCATCAGGAACTAAAAGGAAGTGATAAATGACTCAAAAAATTGTTCACTGTAAAACATTGAGGAGTGAAATTCGGTACACGACTCACTCTGGAGTTCATGCAGTATGCCCAAAGTACCCGAGCGGTATTAATGTGAAATTATGAAAATCAGGTCATAATAATAATATGTGAACGTCCGGCACTTCCTAAAAAGAGTCGATTCCGCTCCGTAACAGTGTTCGCCACTCCGTAAAAGGGGTAGATTTTACACCATATTCATATATCATACCTATAGACTCCGGAACCGAATCTCACTCCAAAATTCGTAACAATGTAAAAACTTTAAAGTTCTCTAGAATTTTGCGCCCCTAGACCGGAGCTTAGGCAACATGAATGGCAAATCCGGCCCTGGATATGAGCCATATTTCCATACCCAATACTCAACCAGCTCCTCTGCCACCGATCCAGCGGATGACACGCAAGACAGCCATCAAAATCGCAACCGTACACCAAGCTCCTTAACCCACAATTTCCCAACGGCGAGAGAGGTCCTATTCCTCATACATCCACCGCCTCGTTATATCGCGCCGTGGGTCGTCCTCTCCACACCCGCGGGGGTGGGAGTCGCGCCCGGAGAGGGCGGGGGGGGAGGGTCTCACCTGTCGAGGCGCCCACACGACGACATGACCGCATCCCATTGGCCGAGCGCCGGCCGTGCCACGCCCCCTGTAACCTGCGCACGACCGCGCCGCGCCCAGCGCCAACTGCATCCCGCACAACGCCCCCCTCCCCCCTCCCCCTCGCAGCCTCCCAAAGCTCTCGCGATGCAACTTTATGCTCCGCGGCATGGTAAGTGCTCGGTTTACGAGCCGACGCTGCCCGTCCGGACGTGAGTCAGTGGCGTGGCGTGAATTGCGATATATCGATTTATCTACCATTTAAACCTATGGAAAATAATCGATAAACAGAGTGTTCGCAGTGAACGCCTTTATATTCGATTCTTTACCATAGGTTTAAATGGGGAAATATCGATAATCGATCACTCACGCCTCGCCACCGACGTGAGTGATGATTTCGGGGGAGAACCGCGTATGTGCACGTGGCGGCTCGTTAGCACGTACGCGGTTTTTGTGAAACTTCGAGGTTGGGTGTTGGTGGGGGCGATCTGGCAGCCTGGGGTCGTTTTAATTTTTCGCTTTTTTCGCCCTTTCCTGACTGGGCTCTGCGCCGGGTTTAATGAGCGTTTTTACGGTCGCGGAGCACATAAATGCTGCAAATGATCCTTGCGCTACGGGAGGCGTGGAGAGCTTCGGTTTGCCTTTCGTGCAGTGCCCGAGCGCGATGAAATGCTGAGTCCGTGCCTTTGCCTGATTGCCGGAAATCAAACTCCGGCCGCCTTTCCCTCTGCGTGGCCTTTCAGACCAAGCCGTTGGAAAAAATATTCCTCCGCCACTGAAAAAAAAAATTCGGTGTATTTAATGAGGATAGGTGTTTTGGGTATATTTTAGAGTAGTCTTTATAGAGTTGTACGTATTACATATTTTATTGAAAGAAAACAGAGAACGTGGTCCGACAAGGAGATGTGTTGGCGAACTAGCTAACAAGGGGAAGGGGCTGCTATACGCAGGTGCTTATCAACATTGAAATAAGACTCGCAGTATGAGTCGCCATAAAGCGACGTTGTCAAGATTATGATTAATTCCAGGGTTCAACAGTATTTACTAAGAAAAGGGTAAAATTACCAAGAATTCAGGGTTCTATTTGATCCCAGTTTTTTCTTGGTAAAATTAACATTTATGGAATCGGTAATTTTATCGAGAAATCTCGGCAAAATTATTGAACTTTCTCGGTAATTTTACTGGACCTTGGTAAAAACCCCGATATTTTTTATCGACTGTGGTAGAATTACCGAGAAAAAATGGCGTTACTGGGAAGTGATTACCAATAAAAGTGGTATTCTTACCTGAAAAAAAAAAACAGTAAAAATACCGGTTTTTAGGTAAGCTTACCAGTCTGTCTTGGTAAAATTACCA